AGTCTATTTAGTAAATATGGTTGCCACAGTTAATGTTTCTTAGTGTACTTTCTGAATATTGGTACTTAAATTAAATGTTAGACATTGCACTCTTATTATAACCAGGCCTGGAATTTCCTATCTTAAGTTAATTAGTGAATTGCTGCAATTCAGTGCACAATGCTTGCTGTCAGAAAAGGCTGTTTGATCCTTGGCCTGCTTTGAGTTATCTTTGATCAATTGGGCTGACAATAGCAGTGCCACGGTTTGGTTAAGAATAAGCTCATGTTTTTGATGACTGATGAACAAGTGAGCATATTCAGATATTTGACGAGGTCAAAGTTGGCCTTGGCTGTGGCCATCTTCACAGTTTCATAGCCTGCTGAAACTCTATAGTGGCTCATAGAGAAGATATGCAGCAACATTAACTATGCTATCACCATTTAGCAGTGGCTGCCTAGCAATAATGGAACTGAAGAGGGAAGTATTGGCTGGGGAGATTATTTGCATCAAAATGTAAATGATTTCTTAGTGACTCCACTCTAACCCAATTTCCTCATTTTTGGGAAATGTATTTTACTACTTGACTATATAATTGATTGCATTGAGAACTGTTTCATCAGGAGCATAGCAGGTTCTCTCAAACAATAGCAGACTGATCACTGATTACCAGCTGTGAGATGTTCATCAAGCTGAAGTCTCTTTCCTCCATTCTGTTGATTCCAGTAAGGTAGTTTTAGGAGATTGAAATTTGTACAATATTAGAAGACAGCTCGAATGTTTTAATTTTGAGCTTTCAACTTTGTAGCAGTAGAGTGTATTTTCATTGAGACCTGACTTTGTCATGAATATGAAGAGATAAACCCCATGTTATTGAAACATCCAAAACTAACAAAAATAGCAATGAGTGGAGGCTTCACTGAGTCATTCAAGGAGACCTTATCTCTGTCAGCAAGCTATTGCTTCGTATGGGATATAACAGGGAGATTAATAGACAGACAAGAAATGGTTTCGGTACTTTGTCTGTCTCTCTGTCTCTCTCACTCACTCATCACACGCGCACACACACACGCTCAGATTGTAGTGATTTTACAATTCACTTCATACATTCAGCTTCAACTGAAACGTAAGAGCCTGTAAGAAAGCCAGTCTTAATTTCAGGATATTCCAATGCACTTCACAGCTAATTAAGGGGCCTCTCTCCATGCTGTATGACTCTAAACGTTTTGTTTTGAAGTATCATCAATGCTGTAAGAAGTGTAGCCACCCATTTACACACAACAAACCCTTGCAAACAGCAATGATATATAATCAACCAACTTTTGGTCTACATGGATAATATGAGGTGCTGTAAGAATATACAATTTTTAAAGATTGGTCTTGTGGTCTATGGAACTGTAGCAAAAAGATAGAAACTTAAAATTCAGATTTTGAGCATTATGTAAATGGGATAGAAACTAAAGTGATTAAAGAGTCTGGGTACAGATACTCTTACTCTGAGGTCAGGTTTTTGTATTCCAGAACTTTCGATCACTCACCTAAGATATGGTAGTAAACAGCTTTGGCCAAGAGAGGGAATTGGAAGTGATCCAGCATCTGAATTGATCAGGCAGGCCTATTGGAATGCCAGCTATCTGCAAGCTTCAGTTTATGGATTTGAGATTATGGATTGCCAGGCAAGGAGCGGTGCTGAGAGACCATTTTGGGATTGCAAGACATAAATGTTGAAAGTGGAGGTTGTGAAGGAAAGTGATAAGCCAAAAGAATGGACAGTCAGGATTGTTGAAGTCAGGGAGTTCTCTTGGTATCGTCACCAGAAAAAGTAACTTCTTCAACCCCATTGCTGTTTATAGGGCATTACTAACAATCAGCTGTTACGTTTGTCAATATAACAAGTGTGAAGAAGTATTATATAAATACTAGGAAAATCTTGACATGGCAGGCAAAATATTCAATTAATTTCTGATACTGCCTAATGAAGGAACAGAGACTTGACCAGACCCCATCTGAAAAACTATCCTCAGTTCTGTGCACCATATCTCAGGAAATGCATGGCTTCTATGGATAAAACACCATGCAGAATAATACCGCCACTTGGATGCTAAATTCTGATGGACAAGGGGGCATAATCTTAAAATTATTTGTACCATTTGGTAGGGAAATCAGAAAATGCCTTCCACCTGAGGGGGACAAAGGCAGGTAAATGATATTGCAGTACAATTGACTAGTGATCTTGTGTGGAGCAGGTTTAGGATATTGAATGACTTATGTTTGTGTTCCTGAGAAGGATCACTTAGTGTTATAATGAATGTGCATTCTGTAACCCTGAGTTATTAATGTTTGTTTTTGTTTAAACATCTTTGCTTCTGACTAATTAGCAAATTAGTGTAAAATGTGTTTTAAGTATCAGTGTCTTGGGTTTTGAGTATGTAGTTGTTTTGATATTGCTACACTTGTCAACTTCAGTGAGTCTTGGGGAGAAACCTACAAAGTTTCTGTGGCTTATGTATATTTTCTAAGGCTAAAATGGTAACTTAAGACACTTACTGGGAAAGTACCAGAAGTTATTTTTATTTAGTAGAAAATCCACAGGACTTTTTTTTTAAAAGAACGACTGAGCAAATTGACGAAAAGTGCAAAGTCTTTAGTGTTTAGAGCACTTTTAAAAATTTGGCTTTTGATCTGATACTATATGAAACAATGCAAAACAAGATATTAATGTATATGAATATTTAATTTTCTGGGAGTGCTTTGCTGTTTTTGTTTTGCACGTTTGAGTTCTTCATTTGCAGTTTTCTGGTCATTACTGAAGTTCTGGATCTTTAAGCTTGGCATAATTCAAACCCATTTACTGTGGCTGGGTGCACGTTTCATTCTAACCTGAGCTATCAGGTGATTGCACAGCTGTTTACGGGCAAGAATTTCACCACAAATTGAGATTGATTCAACTGTCATCTTTTCTGGTTTTTTAAAAACCTCAGGAGCTCCTTCTGGTGGCTGAAAGACTGAAGTCAATTTTGTGCAAATCGATAATGATACAGATAAACTTGTTTAATGTTGCTTCATTTTAACATTGTTTTGCATTAACATTAGTTAATCAATGAACTGTGTAATCTTATTAAGCATCATGAGATTTATTTTAATGTCATTTCCTGAATGACTTGATCGGCATGTCTCCTCTCTAAACCCACACTGTAGCCTTTTCTCCTTAACCACATGGTTGTGGCCTTTTTTCCACTCTTGACTTCAGGTTGCAGCCATACCTATTCTTTTCCCTATCGTCTTGTCACTTCCTTCTCCTGGATTTTTGTTTCTGTCCAAGCTGAGCCTTCAACGTCGTGAAAGTGAGAGTTCAGAGGTTCTGGGATTTTACAATCTGCTTTTTAAAAAATGCTCAGACTTTCCTCCTCACTCTTCCGAACCCTGGTTCTGAGAGTTTGGGAGAAAAGCAGCAAAACAGGTGTAACTTTGAAAGTTAGCAGAATGTACATTCAGGAAAATGAAACAGCAGGAGTGTGTGTCAGCAGCTGAGCAGGAAGCAATGATTCTGAGCATTGGGGAGGATTTTCAGCAACCAAGAGGATCAGGTGTTAGAAGGTTTGGGAAGGGGCATTGCCAGCAAGAAGGAGATACTATAAGTATCAAGTTATACATTTCTTAATTTTAAATTTATTTAATTATAAATGTTATATCATTTACCACTATGGGAATTTAGCAATGAGTATGTCTTAATATTTTTTTTTCTGATGACTACCCACAGAACCTAACAGTATTAGCATTGCTTCCATAGAAATCAATGTTTCACTTAAAGTCTTGATCTTCAGGAATATGTCCTTGATTTTAAGTGAGGATTTACTGAGCTAATTAGACTGTTTGCTGAGGTGACTTTTCTATCCAAGGGAGTTCTCTGCGTATGTAATTACCGCATTAAAATATTTATGCAGTGTGGTGACAGCACTGACTCGTTCTAAATATTTATATACCCTTAGGTATCAGATGCATATGAGCTCAGAAAGGTCTCCTAAATACTTTTGTTAATGCAGTTCAAATTTTAAAACTGGTGTTACGCTTGAAATAGTGTCAGATCGAAAAAGGGTAGGACCACTATTTATACCGGTCTCTCATCTGTTTCTAGAGTCAGGACAAGTCTTGGGTTTTTGTTATGGATCATTTTATTCAATGATCAGTTGCAGGAAGTGTAAATGTGGGTACCTCATGAAGAGATGGTCAAGATTGATGCTAAAGTCCTCTTTTTAATGTCAATTGGTCTGGTTGTTGTTTGATTTAGAAACTTCGATAACTTAGGGGAGACTGAGCATTTGGACAATTGAAAAGAGTTTGTCTTTTGAAAAGTAGGGGAGATCTGTTCAGTCACTTTCTGATTAAGTTGTATAGAGGATCCATTAATTATCAAATTGTGAACAGAAGCTTTCTCTTTTAAGACTAGTACTAGGAGAAGCAAAATTTCCTGCTTCTGTTCTGGTATACTAACTGCTCCTCCTCCAGTTCCCAAATCACAGTTGAAAGTTGATATTGGGCAGAAATAAAATTTGGTCTAATGAAACTTGCTAGACCTTGCACAAGGAATGACTATGTTAACAAGATATCAATCTGTGAAACTGTGCCCCATGACTGAAAGAAGAGGAGAATCTTGCAGGAAAACCAAGTACTTTCCAAAAGTTTTGTGACCATTCCCATTGCCTACAAACTTAAGCAGAAGAATCATCCTTTTTCCACTGTTTACCTCCATTTTCCTCTCCTGAGTGCATAAACATTATTTCTAATTAGGGGACCAGTTACCAGTGAATAGTGGAGTGTTAGGGCATTTGTCAAAACTTTGTTGCATTATTTTAATATAATCTGTGGCAAAAGACAGAAGTTTAACGTTACAACTCATGAATTTCTTAAATGGGTTGTATGTCCAATCACACAATGGATGTCTTGATCCTTTAATTTAAATTCTGTTTCTTGAACTTGTATAATCCCTAATGGTTGGTTTTTCTTTTTGTCATGTTTTGCAGTATGATGCTGTTCCCATTCAGTCCAGTGTGGTCCTCTGCTCCTGCCCATCTCCATCAATGGTGAGGAATCAGTCTGATTCCAGCACAAGGCCTGCTATTTCTGGTATCACCATGGACAGTAGTGCAGGTGATACCGGACCAGTGGTAAGCTCTTTACCACAGCACGCAGGACAACGGCAACAACCGACATCACAGTCCCAGCGGCAACAGACAGGAGGGCATGCTCAACAGCCTCGGAAGAAACGGCCTGAAGACTTCAAGTTTGGCAAGATCCTTGGGGAGGGGTCATTCTCAACAGTATGTATTTTAAATATCTTTCTGTAAATGCCATTTTAAAGTTGCAGATGTTTGCATATTTGGCTAGATCTTCATAGAATCCCTACAGTGTGGAAACAGGCCCTTCGGCCCAACAAGTCCACACCGATCCTCAACGCATCCCATCCAGACCCATTTCCCCCTATAACCTACCTAACCTGCATATCCCTGAACAATAGTGGATATTTAGCATGGCCAATCCACCTAGCCTGCACATCTTTGGACTGTGGGAGGAAACCAGAACATCCGGAGGAAACCCACAAAGACACGGGGAGAACGTGCAAACTCTGCACAGCTAGTTACTTGAAACTGATTCTAAGGAGAGCCTTATTTACAGAAGTCCACAGAACGTTGTAATACATGAATGGATATGCTGGATTCTTGAGTATAAGGAGTTGCTACGATCTCTATTTGAATGCATGAGAATCCCTGCCAGCACTGTGTGCTTTGTTTATTGAGTATGATCCCTCAAAATACTTCCTGTGATTCCAAAACTTGGTGTGAATCTTGATAGACCTGAAGCAAATCTTTTCCCCCATACAGTTGTACTAATGCATGTTAAAATAGTTTATGCTGTTTTGATTTATTGCCTTGCTAAAAAGTGAGTGGCTTCTAGCTGTAGGATTTTTTTAAAAAAGACTAGCATGTGCAAAAGTTAAATATCTTTTGTTTTTCTTACTGCAGGTTTATTCTCTTGAATACAGCTGATCAGGATTAATGTTTAATACCATAATTTGGGAATTTTAGAAATTCCAGAGGTTTTTCCCTTAATGGTTTTGTTTGTTTGCAGCTCTTAGGAAATGCATATGGGATGATTCATGAAATTTCAAAGATGTGGTATCTGTTGATAGGAAAAGGTCACAGTCAATCCTCTGTACCTCTCAAGTGCCTGAGAGAACCCTTGCTGAGGTGTTGTTGGCTGATGAACCACAGTTGATGGTTCATAGGTGGATGCAGTTCTTTGCAGGTGCTTCTTGGTAACTTTCAAACTAATGCTAACTCCCCAACATTCTAGTATGGTTTGCTGTTATCATCGGTGAGCTCCAGGCATTCTCCATATGCCTGTACATCTCTGTGGTCATATAGTTACTGTGGAGAGAGGAAATGTATACTTCATTGTAGTGATGATTTTGCTTCAGGTAGGTTTCACTTTGACCAATGCAAGAATCTCTCCTCCACAGCAAATGCTTACTCCCAGTGAACCTAAATAGCCCCTTGCATCTGCAAAGCTTTCTGGATTACAGGCCTTAAACATTTTCTAGTAGTGGTGTGTACCATAATTAGCATCGATTCTGTGTATACCACCTGGGTTCAAAGCCATATACCATTAACAAAATGCAAGGGGAGACTGAGGCATACTGATAATGTCAGTGGACTAGCAATCCAGAGCCCTGTGCCACTGTTCTGGGGACAAGGGATTGAATCCAATCAATACCAGATACGGAATTCAAATTTCGCTAACAAATCTGCAATAAAGAGGTGGCCTAATGGTGACGTGTAACCACTTACAGTTGTCATAAAAATCCATCTGATTCACTGATGTCCTTTAGGCAAGGAAATTTACCATCCTTACCTGGTCTCGTCTTCATGTGACTTCAGATCCACATCAATGTGGTTGACTCTTAACTGCCTACCGTGCAATAAATGAGGCCATAACCAACGATGCCTACATCCTGTGAATGAGTATTTTAAAAATTCTAGTCTAATACTGCGTTTAACTCTGTCCCACTTGCAAAGCATGATGGGTGTAAGGTTTAAAAATTTTCTGCATTACATTAAACTGTATATCCTTGATGAAAAGCTTTTTATGTGAAAATGAATCCCAAGGCAGTAAAGCATGGAAGGAGCTGAAGAATGTAATGGTTCACATGTGATTTTTTTTTTTGTTTATTATTTGACACAGGCTAGTGTAGGAAAGGGAAAAAACTTGCATTTATGTAATGACATTCATAACCACCAAAAATCTCAAAACATGTTACAGCCAATGCATTACTTATTAAGCACAGCCACGGTTATGATGCAGGAATTCCTGTAAACCAGTTTGAGCATAAAAAGCTCCCACAAGCAGCACTGAGATTTTTTTTCCCATCTGCCTGACAGAGCCTTAGTCTAATGATGTCTCATCCAAAAGAGAAGGCATCTTGTTCTCTAACTCACAGCTGACCACTGCAAATTTCTTCGGTGTGTGTCAGACCTGAAAACTGTATCTGGACACAAAGATAAAAGCAAAATTCTGCTAATGCTGGAAATCTGAAATATAAATAGAAAATGAGGGAATATTTGGCACATCAGGCTGCATCTATGTAGAGAAAGAGTTAACATTTTATGTTAGTGACCCTTCACCAGGTCATTGATCATCAGATCCTTCACCTTAACTGTTCTGAAGATCGATCATTGGATTTGAAATGTTAACTCCGCTCTCCCTCCACAGATGCTATCAGACCTGCTTTGTTTCTCCCAGCAATTTCTGTTTTTGCTTCGTAGACCAGGTCTTCTTGCCTTTGTATGTAGACTCCTTCAGAATCGTAAATGATGCTGATCATTTGTACAATCGTGAACAAGCTTCCCACTTCTGATCTTGTAATGGAAGAAGGGTCATTGATGAAGCAGCCGAACGTGGTTGTGCTCAGAACACCACTCTGAACTACAGCACAGATGTTCTGGAGCTGAAATGGCTGATCTCCAACAACCATGACTATCCTCCTTGTACCAGCCTCCAACAAGCGAGAGTTTTTCTCCCCACTGCCAATTAACTCTAGTTTTCCAACATTTCCTCTGTCAAATGCAGCCTTGAGGTCAAGGGCAGTCACTCTCGTGTCGCCTCTGGAATTTAGCCCTTGCTCAAACCAATGTCAGGAGCTGAGTGAACCCAAACTATGCATCAGTGAGCATGTTTAGCTTGGCAGGTTGTAGTTGATAGCACTGCTGATGCTACTTTCTATCACTTTACTGATCGAGAGTAGATTGATGGAGCAGTAATTGGCTGGGTTGGATTTGTCCTGCATATTGTGAATACACATGAGTTGGCAATCTTCTCCGTTGTTGGGTAGATACCAGTGCTGTATCTGTTCTGCTGGATAGGGCCCTGATAAGTCTTGGAGCACAAGTCGTTATGATTGCTGGAATATTGTCAGGCCCCATAGCCTATGAGGTATCCAATCTCAAACCAATTTTTGACGTCATGTGGAATGAATTGAATTGTTTCAAAACTGGCATCTGTGATGCTGGGAACCTTCAGAGGAAGCCAAGATGGATCATCAATGCTTCAGAGTAGCCCCCCTCAACCAAAATCATTTGTATGGCGATATTTGTAGCATCTCCACCTCCAGTGAGTAGTTTAGTTGTCCGCCACCATTCGTGATTGGATGCTGCAGGACTGTAGATCCTAGATCTGATTTGTTGGTTATGGAGTTGTTTAGCCTGTCTGTCACTTGCTGCTAATGCTGTTTGGTATTGCAAGCAGTCCTGTTTTGTAGCATCACAAGGTTGACATTTCATTTTTAGGTATGCCTGGTGCTGCTTCTGGCATGCCCTCTGCGTTCATCATTGAGCTAGAATTGATCCCCTGTTTGATAGTAATGGTTGAGTGTGGCGTGTTCTAGGCCATGAGGTTCTGCTGGTGTCTGCATGAATGCCACTTCTTGATTTGCTCGATCTATTTCAAGTTTCATCTATTTCAAGTCTCACCTATTTAGCAAGGTGACAGTGCCACACAACACAATGGAGGGTAACCTTTTTCATAGAATTATAGAATCCCTCCAGAGTGGAAACAGGCCATTTGACCCGCAAGTCCACTTTGGAAGGAGCAACAAGAATACAGAGTACTGGGCTAATGGTAAGATTCTTGGTAGTGTGGATGAGCAGAGAGATCTCGGTGTCCATGTGCATAGATCACTGAAAGTTGCCACCCAGGTTGATTAGGGTTGTTAAGAAGGCGTACGGTGTGTTAGGTTTTCTTGGTAGAGGGTTTGAGTTTCGGAGCCATGAGGTCATGTTGCAGCTGTACAAAATTCTGGTGCGGCTGCACTTGGAGTATTGCGTACAGTTCTGGTCGCCGCATTATAGGAAGGATGTGGAAGCATTGGAAAGGGTGCAGAGGAGATTTACAAGGATGTTGCCTGGTATGGAGGGAAGGTCTTATGAGGAAAGGCTGAGGGACTTGAGGCTGTTTTCGTTAGAGAGAAGAAGGTTAAGAGGTGACTTAATAGAGACATACAAGATGATCAGAGGATTAGATAGGGTGGACAGTGAGAGCCTTTTTCCTCGAATGGTGATGGCTAGCACGAGGGGACATAGCTTTAAATTGAGGGGTGATAGATATAGGACAGATGTCAGAGGTAGGTTCTTTACTCAGAGAGTAGTAAGGGCGTGGAATGCCCTGCCTGCAACAGTAGTAGACTCGCCAACTTTAAGGGCATTTAAATGGTCATTGGATAAACATATGGATGGTAATGGAATAGTGTAGGTTAGATGGGCTTCAGATTGGTTTCACAGGTTGGCGCAACATCGAGGGCCGAAGGGCCTGTACTGCGCTGTAAAGTTCTATGTTCTATGACTCCCCGAAGAGCATCCCACCCAGACTCGCCACCCCTGCGTTTCCCATGGCCAGTCCACCAACCTGCACATCTTTGAATCCACCTTATTGTGAAGGTGCGACTTTGTCTCCTGATGCCAAGAGACTTGGTGTCTGGAGTCAACATTGAGAATTTCCAGGACATCTCTTTTCCAAATACGTAACATAGTGCCACCATTTCTACTACGTCTGCCCTGCATTGGGAAGATATACCCAGGGATGATGGTGGTGTTGCCTGGAACATTGTGTAAAAGGTTCTGCACAAGTTGTCAGTTGAATAATGTAAATTGTAGTTTAATTTGAAAATTTTGAACCTGTGCTTACACCTGCAAGTGTGCAGAAAATAAACGGTTTCAAATTGTATTTATGTTGAGATGAATGGGTCATCATTCCAATCTAATGCTCCACACTAACGTTTTTTCACTATCTCTAGGACACATTTTGGCATGCTTGTGCTCCTTATGTGGCACAAGATCACTACCTATTTACAGGTCTTGTGCTGGGCTATTACACTGAATCAAGCTTCCTATTTGGTGGTGTGCCTACCTAAGTCTGCTCAATACCTGTCCCTACTTTCAGAAAGTTCCAATTTAATTTAATGCTTAGGATGTGAGCAACATAGACAAGCCACATTTTGCTGCCCATTCCGAGTTCAGAGTGGGCAGACTAGAAATTAATAGAACTCTGGAGATACGTGTGGCATGGAGACGGTAATGAGTTCCCTTCCATGCAGAATTAATAGTGAACCAGCTGAGATTTTGCAGCGGTCCATACATTTTGGGCCTGTTACCTGGTACTAGTTTACAAATGTCAGTGATTACTCAGTGCGAGCATTCTTGCAGAGTCAGATTATTGTGGGTTCAAGTTCTACTTGGCAAATTTAAGCACATCATAATTTAGACTAATGCTGTAGTAAAGTGTTAAGGAAGTCAGTGTCAGATTGACACTAAGAACTTAAAAGCAGGAGCAAAGTGAAACCTTCACAGTTGAGAGAAGAACCTTGTCTTTGACAATGAAGCATGTAAATGAGCACCTGAAGTTGTATTTTCTGCACTGATTTTTCCAGTATGTGGTTGACCGCTTTATTTGTTTCAATGCAGGTTGTATTAGCACGTGAACAAGCAACTGGTAAAGAATATGCAAGTAAGTAACAAGTTTGTGTGGTGGTTAAGCTGTCGACCCCTTCATGGCTCACACGATTGGGATCATCTTGGGAAAACTGCTTTCCAACTTACGTTGGCTATAAATCCCAAATCCTGTGCACATTTTAGAAACTCCATGGAGATGTTGTGGGATCGCACTGATGTACTGGATGATGGAAATTGGGTTTGGGCAAACTGCTAGATCTTCTAGATCTTGGCTACAACAAACACCTGACACTTTCTTTCTCGTGTGCTGCATATCCCTGAGCTCAGAAGCAATTTAAAGAGGGAGTGGGATAGACTGCCATGTTCCCAAGCCCTAGCAACCAGTTAACAGCAATGTTTCCAGGACCACGTGAACAAGTTGAATAGCCTTGGGTCAATATAGTGAGACAAACAGAGGGAGTATAACCACAAACTTGTTTGTTTCATTTTGTTTAATTGGAAGATGCCAGAGCTAAGGATTGCCCTGTGAGGAAAATGTAATAACATTTGTAATTCTCTGTTGTTCTCCAAAATTAGGCAGAAAGTTTACTCCATGCGTACTTCTGATCCCAGCAGACCCACTAGAGTTGGCAGCTGTTGGTTAGGCAAGGAACCAACTAGTTATTGCTGGTCTACGGCCTTCTTGATCTACATGCTGATAATTCCTATGGCTTTTCTCATCCCTGTCCTATGATTCTAGTGGGAAAAAGTGTTTTTGGAATAATACGTGAAGAATGGATTGAATTGAGCTTTAAGCTGTCCGTGGTCTGTAGCCACATAGCGGTCATTTTCCAGGCATATACAGGCATTATTGACAGAGTTATTCATTTTAAGATTAATGTACTGCTGATTTTCAGCTCTATAGAAAACTGGAATAGTCGTTTTCCAGTTAACATGTACAGCTTCAGTAAGGCAATTCCTTTGTCTTGCAGTTAAAATTCTGGAGAAACGTCATATCATTAAGGAGAATAAGGTACCATACGTTACTCGAGAAAGGGATATCATGTCTCGCCTGGATCACCCCTTTTTTGTAAAACTCTACTTCACTTTTCAGGATGATGAAAAACTCTGTATCCTTTTGTTTTGTGGTGTCCCAGTCATTGCTTAAAAGTAATACAAGGGAGCCATGTAGTTGATCCTCGTCTTGAGCAGAGCTGCCAGAAGCACTGAGATAACGAGGTAAAGAGCTGGATGAACACAGCAGGCCAAAAAGATTTTCTGAAGAAGGGTCCAGACCCGAAACGTCAGCTTTCCTGCTCCTCTGATGCTGCTTGGCCTGCTGTGTTCATCCAGCTCTACACCTTGTTATCTCAGATTCTCCAGTATTGGCAGTTCCCACTATCTCTGTCAGAAGCACTGTCTTGCATAAATTTAAATTATTCTGTAAAACAAATTACAAGGATACAAAGAAATTACAAAAAAATTACTTTGCAAGATTCTTTACAACTTTGCAGTCTGTGCATATTAGCATACAATTTGGTCCTTAACTTCAATGCAGATTTTGGCCTTAGTTACGCTAAAAATGGGGAGCTACTTAAGTACATTCGTAAGCAAGGCTCATTTGATGAGAACTGTACACGATTTTATTCTGCTGAAATTGTTTCAGCACTGGAATACTTACATGAGATTGGGATCATACACAGGTAAGGAATTTCAATGTTTTTGCATATCAATACAAAGATAAGTTTCTTTTCTGGTGTCTTTCAGTTGAACCGTTCAGACCACTAAAGTCTGTCCACTTGCCAGTCTGTGCTGTATTAGCAGCAATAGAACTATTATAGGTAACTTGGACCCGAACTGCTCTTGAGCCTAATCTCTTTCTGGCAATTGCTACTGGAGGGTGTGTCGGTGTGGAGGACAATGATGTTTGCTGTCAAACTCTGAAACAAAGAAAAGCATCTAACACCCAATTTCCACCTGGCTCCCTGTAATGATAGTGTAAACTGGGTTCCACCACACTAACTCTCTATATGCGTAAATTCAAATGTGAACCTTGTTCCATGCTCTGAATTTAAGATTGTAAAATATCTATGCATATAGAATACAGTAAAGATTAAGGTACTTGACTGCAAAGGAATTTGAATTGCTC